GGTCTATTAAAGGTCGAGTTTGACCGATCCGAATTCAACATTAATGGTTGTTTCGGTTGAAATGATGAAAAATATAGAGAATAAAAAAATTAGGAGAAATAGAGTTTTCATCTTTAAACAAAAGAAAAAATTATTTTTTCTCTTTTTTATTTGGTACCATGAATAAAAAGTTAGATGACTTAACTTTATTATTTATTATCAAAAAAAAAAAAAGAAACACGCGAAAATTTTATTTATCATTATACCCTCACCAAAAAAAATATTTTTTTATTGCATGAAAAATAAGAGGACTGAAAAAAAATACTAATATATTCAAAAAATATTAAATCATTTCTATTGCATCAAATCATGCGGTAGAAATATATTTAATGTATGAAAATGGTGAAAATTTTATTTCGACATAGTCGAAACTTAAGAAGTATTTTTGTTTTTAAAGAGATCGAAATGAATTAGTAATAAAATCGAAATTTTAATACTTTAAGATATTTCATAACGTTTCGAAATATTTTGTAATTTTTATTGTATTTGTATAATTGTTTTAATATATTTCAAGATACTTTATTATATTTCGACTAATATTTTAGAAAAATAATTCTTAATTTTTTTTATTTTGCTTCTAAAATAAGTTAAAATGTTTTTAAAATACGTTAAAATATTTTTATTTTTTAAGTGATTGAAATAAAAATTTTATCCATCTTCGTAACAGCTTTCAAAAGCGAACTGCTAACCTACTAGTAATCACCGCAACGTCTACACGTGGCTAATGTTTTCCAAAAGTACCAATTATTTTGTGAAACAAGCCCTAAAGGGCATATTAGTAAATTGAGCAAACTCCACCGAAGTTCTCCACTTTCCACCCCAACGGGGGTGGATTTTTTTTGGCACGCCCACTGAAAGACCTTTTCATCTTTTTTCCTATTCCACCTTGTTTTCTTATCATACCAAACAAGGGAAAGTTTTTCCTACCCTTCCATTTTTATCCACTTTTTACCATCCACAGTATTTTCCATCCTATCAAATAGTTGGTAAAAGTTCAATTCGATATTTGATACTCAAGGGCTTTTTTGGTATTTTAATTTATAACATGTTTCTCTTTTTTTTATTTCCATATTAAACAACACAATAAAAAATTTATTTTATAATTTTTCATCCTTCTCATCAAACAAAAAGAAAAAAAAATACTCTTTCTTTCCTCTATAGATAAACGTTTTTTGTTAAGGACAAAATACAATAAACAAACTTATTGAAATATAAAAAAATACTCTTTCACTTTTTCTCGCCTCGCTCACGTTCGCTTCGCCTGGGTCCCTCCAGGCGAGCTAGTCTCGCCTCGCCTCGCTTCTCGCTTAGGCGAGCGCCTAGGCGCGCTTTTCATAACACTGTACACCTAAAAGCTGATATTTTGGAGAATACTATTTTAGATTTGCAAATGTAAAATGTATTTAATTTAATTGACTCAATAAGATGAAGAGAGAAGAATAACCTGATCGATCATGGGAAGGAATTCACCGGCTGGTTGAAAGAAAACAGCTTGGGTATCCTGAGACTCTATAATATGAAACATGACAATCTAAGGGGCATAATCTAAGGCAAGAGAACTATTTTAGAAGGCAATTCAGAGTGAAGAAAGGGTAATTTCCAAAGCCAGTTTTCAGAACTTCAAGCAAAAGATAGTCTGTATCAAACTAATACTCCAACTTGGTTTCCAACAACACGAAAGGGGAGAATGCCAAAATTAGGGATCATGCAACAACTTGTTGAAAGAAGGTATATGCCCCCAAAATTTGTATGCTTCTCTAATATACCATTCCAATAATTGAACAACCTATTTAAAGCTTGTTTTGGATTCAGATAACATCTGTTATTTATTACCAAAATCCATATCACAGAGTTCCTGAGTTTGAGCATCAAATCTGCTCACCTTTTGTCAACTGGATAACCAAGAAAGAGCAGCAGAGTACAACTGCACTACATATAAGATTTCAAGGAGTTACCTTTGAACATCTTCTTTTGACAAATTGGTAAAGCAAAGGCCAGAATCACCGCGTAGAAGCTAAACAAGAAATTTTTCAACAACAGTAAAAACAACAAATCTAATTGTGAATAAAACCTACGAAGGAAAAAAAATTGCAATATACAATGAGTATATACAATAGTAATTCGTACTTTCGAAATCTTGTGAAGACCTAGTCTGATTTCATCAACAACAGATCGACCAATAGAAACCTGCAAGACTTTGTTGGATCCCAGGAAAATCTGACACCCCAAAAATATAGATGATTGTGTTACAAAGCATATGAGTATACTGCAGACTGTAGTGGTTAGCCTACCAAAAGTTTCTACTGAAAATGCCCTCAAAACAATGTTATAACTTGTAAAAGTGCATTTCCAATATGTTCATGGGAGAAAAGTGTAAAAGTCCATAGGAAATTTACAAATAGTTCATTGCATTTAAAATTGCAGCTCAGTGTTTTCAGAAAAAACTGTCCTATAAAGTTTCCCTAACCCAAATAGAGTTTTAAACAAAAATCTATAAATGAATGAAAATTAAATCTCCCAGTATGCAGCAATATAGGAAAGTGCTAAACCCAAAGCCTTTTTTTCAGTTCACAGCCCGAAGTGCGCATCTTCAGTACAAAAGTTCATCCTTCACTTCTCTTAACATTAAGCCCTGTATAAGCAGGGCATGAATTTTTTTTAAAAAAGTGTGTAACTTTGTATATCCTATTGAAAAATGAACAATCCGCAATCTAACCCAGCCAAGCCTTATGTCCCACTCATTTGGGGGTATAGATCAAGAAGAAAACCCATAGATTTTGTAGAGTACATAGATACATAATTCAACCCAACATTATTACACCACATTCACTTTGTTTGGATAACAACCAGAGTTTTTGACAATTACATCTAGACATATACAATAATATGATTTGAGCACCCAAATAGATGGTGAAAAGAAAGCAATCTTTCCTGAAACACATTTTTTTCTAATTACCTGCTAGTGGATTTGATCTGCTCTCCGAACTCCTTGAATTTGAGATTTATCATGTTCTTAAAACTAAACACATACACAGAATTGTACTTTTCTACAGCCTCCCTTATAGAATAGGTACACAGGATAATCTTTTACCATTTACCAGAACAAAACACCAAGCACTGTGTAAAAAATCATGATATTCATTTTACTCTATTTTCTCTTTTTCAAAAGTCAAAACCAATTTTTAGGAGACCAAAATAGTAGACAGCCCCTAAAAAATAATAGGTCTCAAAATTTTATCTTAGGCACTGTGAAACATAAAATGGAACACTAATTGCATAATATTAATCTTTTGAATAACAATTTTTTTATTGAATACTTATCTCGATTTTTTTTACACAAACTGAGAAGACTAAGTTACAGATCACAGAGAAGACTAAGTAAATTATAGATCACAGAGAAGATTAAGTTCCAGCGATCAAGGAACATACCAAGCCTGCCCTTGCCTTTGAAATGCATACTTCCACAATGCAAGCCAGGTGCAGCTGCAAAAATAATCTTTCAGGAAACAGCAAAAGCTAATGTGAGAACCAACAACAACTTCTATAAACCCTTTATCACTCGGTAATTCCATCAAACACTTGGTGTCCAAACAATTTGTGTATATTGTGTTTTGTGTGTGTCCGCAATGGTGTGTGGGTTTGCGCAGTGGGGGAGGGGTGGGTTGCGCAGAGGAGGTGAGATGGGGGGTTGTGTTACGCAGAAAAGGGAGACCTTTGGGGGAGAGACGGAGAGAGAAGAGGGATACCTGGGAGAGGCGTTGCTGTGGCTGTGGCTGTGGCTGTGGCTGTGGCTGTGGCTGTGGCGGTGGCGGTGGCGGTGGCGATGGCTATGTGTGAGAGGAAGGTACCTGTGCGACCTTTCATGGTTGAGCCATGGCAGACCGAGAGGTGAGACCGTGAGAGAGAGGGTAGAGAAGGCTGGTCTTGGAGAGAGAGAGAGTTTGGCTTGGGTTGGGTGTCGTGTGAGTGTAGGTATAGTCACGTTAGGCGCCGTTTGAGAGGGTAAGGAATTTGATTTTGCGAGATGTATTGTGGGCCATTAGATTAGGTTGGATGAATGGTGGTGAAATCTGAACCATTTAATTTGAATTGGAGTGTTAGTGGCTGTTGGAAGTTGAAGTCGCTCTGTTTTATATTGTAGAATAATCAATCATTATTATTGAATTAACATTACATCTCAATATTTAGATCCGTTATCAATACAATAATTGTGATTAATTAGATCAATAAATTATATTTAGAACTTAGTTTAATTTTTAAACGTATTACCTTAGAACATAAACATTAAAATTTTAGAACATAGGCGTGGCCCACGGATAGAACTCGGAAGAAGGGATTGGCCCAAGATACATACATCCAAAGGGTTGGCTGGCTATGTACTACATAGGTTACGAGGTTTAGTGAGACTCATTTATTAATTAGTGGACGATTCAAGTACGTGACACTGCGGATGCGATGTAATGGTTGCACCCTATATTTTTTCCATGACCCTTCCATGGTCACCCCTAAACCAAATCGTTTTCAGCAGTGATTAACATTTATCATTGGTGATCAGGTGAGAGTGCTACATATGCATCGGGTAGGTATTTCATAAGTTTTATAGTAACAATCAACATCATACACAACAGTACCGTTATCCATGTACTTCTAAAAACAGTAGTAATGGGCAAACAACACACATTTTACACCGGACAATACTTTAGTAAAAACAGTTTGTTTTGCCACAAAAATCACATATTCACACCCCAGTCCAACAACTAATACACGCCAGCTCCATAAATACACCCCTCCGATCCTCTGTTTTTGCTCTCAAATTGAAGGCAACTCTGAAGAATCATAATGTGTGTGGTGAGACCAAGTCTCTTCTCTTCACCTACAATACAATCCCACCTCTCTCTCGCTCTCTCTCACTCTGCCTTTGTTGTCATGAATCACTGATAACGATCAACAGAAGGAAAAAAATGGAAGAGAATATCACTGTGGTTCTCAAGATTGACATGCATTGTAGTTGTGAGGGTTGTGCTGACAGAATTATGGAATGCATTCGAAATTTGAATGGTATACATTTCTTCCATACTAATCCAAAATCACCAAAACGCTTTACTCTCTTTCATTTTTCGGAATCCATACTTTGTTTTCCTTTCTGTTTTTGATTTTTTCGTCTCCTCCTCTTCTTGTTTCCATTCTATTTTTTGGGATTTTCATAATGTTCTGTTAGCTGTTCTGTTTTTTTTTTTAATTCCATTTTGACATTATTTTCTCTATTTCTCCTATCTTCATTATCAGAACAACTTGAGAATTGTGGTTTCTCTAAGGTTGTAATGAATTCATAATTATGCTTTTCATTCAATGCAAATTTATGTTTGTTCTCTATATATATTCATTGTTCGCGCTTTATTCTAACCCTTGATTGTTATGATGTTTTTGTTTGTGTGTGTGTGTACGTGTAGGTGTTCAGTCAGTGAAGATAGAAGACGGTGACGGCATCAAATTTACAGTGGTCAGCAAAGTAGATCCTGAGAAGCTCCGGGAGAAAGTTGAGAAGAGATTGAAGAAGAAGGTCTCACTCATTTCTGTAAAACCAAACCAAATCGAAAATAAGGACAAAGAAAAGAAAGATAAGAAATCTACAGAGGTATGGCATATGCTTTTTTTTTTTATTATTATTTTTTATGGCATATGCTTATGGATTAATGTTATATGTTTCATATCAAGCCTTGAATCTTGTGGAAGTTTTGTTACTTACATAATTGCTGGTTAATTAATTTCCACCTTGGGCTTTTAAACATCTTTGTAGAGGAACTCGTACACGAGATAGAAAAACACAAAAATACACAAATTCTTACGTAATTCAGCTTGCAAAAAATTACTACAAGCAATTTAGATTACAAACAATTCTCTGAATCAAAAATAAAAGCAAGAAAAGTGTTACTTTCATTTTATTACAAATTTAAGTGGGTTTTATTTCCAAAAAAATTGGTTACCAGAAATTTTTTTTCCTCACAACGCAAGCTTTGCTTTCTGACTTAACACATTAGCCACTAGATTCATGCGTCTGGCTTATGCTAAATACACATATAAAACTCAACCAAGAAGTCTTGCCACCTTGCTGCCAAGCTTCTTCTATGTTTAGAAATAATTGGTGACTATGTTATACAACGAATTTTGCGGGGACTATTTTGTTGGCTCTTCGAGACCCTTGCCCATGTGCTTCAAAATCAGAAGTCATCCAATTTCTCAATTAAAATCCCAAGATTTTTTTTTTTAAGATTAAATACGAATTAGGATGAAATACAAAGCATGCAACAAACTTCGTAATATCGTTTTTAGTAATGATACTAAAGGGTTATAGTTGATTTACTTGAGATTCACTGCATGGGTACATAGCCCATCAGATGAGAGATTTTAGTAAAGTTATTTGCTAGCTCTTGTTTTAGTGATTTTTCATAAAGTTGTGTTGATTACTTGATTGGTTTTTGCATTTATCAGCCTAAGACAATATCGGTGAAGGTGAAACTGAACTGCGATAGATGTATTCAAGCTATTGTCAAAATTGCCACAAAAACCAAAGGTTAGGACACATTTATCGGTGTTTTTTAGAGTAATTTTGGTTTAAGGACTAGCTTGTCATGACACAGGATTTCAAGAGATCTCCTTAGACAACCAAAATGACCTAGTAATGGTAAGAGGGACTATGGACGTGAAAGCTCTGGTGGAAGCATTGACAAGGAAGCTCAAAACATCGGTCGAGATTGCTGCACCGACGAACGAATGCTGCCGCCAGGAGAGAGGGAGTGTTAATGTCATTGGCGTTGGTGATAGCGGCGGCGGTGGTGGTGGGTGTGTGGAGGGAAATGGCTGGATTGGATATGGACCAAATGTGTGCTCAAACAGACATCCTTATGGGCCATATTTTGATCACTCCATCAATGAAATGTTTGGGCAGTGTTCTGTTATTTAAGTGCATGTTTTGTTTAGAAAGCATAATGTAAATAACAGTGCAAACTTGTAGATTTTAATTCCTTGGTATATATCCATGATGTACTCAAACATAAATTCAAAATAACATGTCTCGCATACAGTGAGACAAAATTACATTGGCATCCCTAAAGTTATAAATCAAAAAAATTGTGTAAATTAGCCGACTTTTTTTTTTTTGGTATATAAAATGGATATACAGATATGTCATTCTACATATCTGTCAATGAATATTGTCCCTCAGCATCACACAGTTATCTGCAGGGGATTCCATTGCACCTATGTCGAACCTGAAGCAAATGTCCTACTGTATAATCTAGGTACTGAAAGTAGGTTTAACTTCAACGAGTCATCGTAACTATGAAAATTCGAAATCAAACATTAAGTAAGAAAATCTAAATTCTTAGTCACTAGGGCAACCGCTACTTGGTGTAAATTAGCAGACTTGATACAAAAAGCAAAAATGCTAAAATTGTATCAATTGGATGCCAACCTTTAGGAAAGGATAAATGAGAATGAAAAATTGGATAGTGCGAACCAATGTTTGCTTCAAATTTGTGTGGGAGTGGACTTAGGGTCCACTACTTCATGGGCCTTATTCAGAGCCCAATAGTATGCAAAACAATAGGACCATGTCCTTTGCATATCAGCATATTTCATCTATCGCCCAATACTTTAGGAGATTCATCTCATACTATTCATTTGAAATCTCTTTGTAGATCCACATGGTTCTCTTCTTTCATTTTATTTTGAAGTACGAGGTCATCCCCATTACCCTCTATTATTTACCTCTATTATTAATGTCGGATCGTGAAATGGGCAGGAGAATTAGACTTCTTTGTGTTTGGCATCGAATCATAATGGCAAAAGCCAAGTTAAATGTACATCACTAATGCTATTGAGATATAATTTAAAAATATAATGTATTGGGACCAATGAAGTAATAGGGAATGCAATGATGAGACTCATTGTAGTATTAAATTTATTACATTATGACTCCATTGGTCAAAATACATTATGTCCCACAAATTATATCTCTTAATTATATTCCAATAACATTACTCAATCTATAATACAATCTTGAATGGTTAGTAAGGCGGGTTTAAATTAATTATTTATTTGGTCCTTAAATTATATTGTTTATCTTTATTTTTGGTGTTAATTTAGGCCCTAAACTATGTGATCCAACTTAATGTGGTCCTTCCATCTAATCCACCATTAACTTTAATAAAAATCTTCTCGTACATGTCACGAGCCAAACATTAAGTTATAATTACGTGAGGATTTTTGTCAAAATTAACGACGAATTTGAAGAGAAAAGTCATATTTAATCAAATTACATAGTTTTATGGATTAAATTAACATAAAACATATTTTAGAATCTTAATTGACACAAACAATATAATTTGGAGGGAAAAAAATAATTAACTCCAAAAAAAAAAAAGGTCTTTCTCATACGCCCTACCTAATTTTCTATTCTACGTTGACGTGCGTCAATTGTCGTGCGCCAACAGTGTCACCGACACTTCTGATTTGACTAACAACACCACGATGCTGCTAATATGACCACTTGATCACCCCCCATGTATCCAAATCGAATCTGCCATCTTAATCTGCTGACTCAGTGTGTGTTTTTCCTTATCTGCATGTAGACACATGAGGATAATGATACGGTATTTAAAAAAAAAGTATATCAAAATTAGCTTAGAAAAGTGAATTTTAGTTTGATGAATTTATAGTTATTAACCTAAAATTAATAAATTAAAATAACAATAATAAAATAAATTATGAATGTCATGTTTTTATTGGATAAAAATTATAAAAAAATAAATTTTAGATTAAATAATTAAAACCTACATTTTTCAATCACCGAACCAAATTTTTTTCGGATGATATTTTGATCATTAAAAGGGCATACAAAACTTAAGGTTTCAGTTTTTTTGAATTAATTTATTAACGCAAACACGCCGAAGTTTCCCAATTCGAGTAAAAGGAAACAGAGTCTCCTACCTGCTCGTCATAAGCGACAGTTCCTACGTGCATTCTATATGTATTGGTCCAATTCAGAGACTCACTCCTCACTCCTCACTCCCTTCTCTCTATGGAGCCGCTGTCGCTGGTTTGTTTTGGTGTTTGGTTGGTGTGTTTTGCTGTTTCGTTGCAGATGAAGAGCAAGAACAGTAACAAAAAGGCCTCTCCGTTACCGAAAAAAGATGAGAAAAATGACAAGAAGAAGAAGAATGGCGACGGCGGCGGAGAACGGAAAACGAAGAGAGATGCCATAGACAAGCCAAAGGAAAAGCTAGAACAGAAGAAATCCAATGAGGTTGTAGTTACTGTGATCGCGCATTTAAGCAAAATAAAATTAATATTCATCGAAATTATTAATCTATTTGCTTCTCTGTTCCATTGATTTTATTGTAATCTATTTGCTTCTCTGAAGAAACCGCCGGACGAGGAAAAGAAGAAAGAGAATCGCGTTGACAGAGAAAGGAATAAGAAGAAAGAGGCCAAAGACAAGGCAAAGGAAGAACCACAAGTGAAGAACCACAAGGAGGTAGCAGTGATCTCTCTCTCTTTCCCCCTCTCTCTTTCTATCTCCCCCTCTCTCTCTCACTGGGTGGTTGGTTTCGCGTTTGGTTGCAGGAGAAGAACAAGGATGAGCAGAATAAGAGCAAGATAAACAACAAAGACGATGGAAGAAATAAGGACGACAAAAAAAAGAATGTTGGTGCTGGAGAAGAGAATAGGAACAAAGAGGCCAAAGACAAGCCAAAGCAAAACCCAGAAGATAAGAATTCAAAGGTTAGGCTTATCTATTTGCTTTGCCAAAAACTTCATAATTTCATTTTTAGTAATGATACTAAAGTGGTTACACTTGAGATTCACGGCATGGGTACATAGCCCATCAGATGAGAGATTTTAGTAAAATTATTTGCTAGCTCTTGTTTTAGTGATTTTTCATCAAGTTGTGTTGATTAATTGATTGGTTTTTGCATTTATAGAAAACATGGTTGAAGGTGAATCTGAACTGCAATAAATGTATTCCAGATATTGTCAAAATTGCCTTCAAAACCAAAGGTTAGGGCACATTTAATGGTGTTTTTTAGAGTAATATCAGGTTAAGGACTAATTTGTGATGAAACAGGATTGCAAGAGATCTCTTTAAACAAACAAAATGACCTAGTAATGGTAAGAGGGACTATGGACGTGGAAGTTCTGGTGAAAGCATTGAAAAGGAAGCTCAAAATATTGGTCGAGATTGCTGAATCGAAGAAGGAATGCCGCCGCCAGGAGAGTGGGAGTGTCAATGTCATTGGCATTGGTGGTAGCGGTGACAATGGCAGAGATGGTGAGAAGAAAGAAAAAGGCGGTGGTGTGGAGTGGTGCAAATTTGTCGAATTTATAGCTGACATATTTCAAAAAATTACTGAATTTGTCTTTGCTGCATAACTGAATTAGTGTTTGTTGAATAAATCTAGTTTGTTTTCAGTATTCCACTTATTTAGGAATACAGATTGTCTTCCTCTTATTTAGGCAAACTTTTTTAGTCGGTTGAGATCTTTTAGGAAAAAAATTCTAGTATGTATAACCTTTGTAATCCTAGTTTTGCTTTAGTTCTCCATTGAGTAATAAAATTCAGTTTCAACACCATCCCTGTCTTTTTTTTTTTTGGTTGCTTCCGGTCTCTATATTTCTTACATGGTATCAGAGTTTGGTTGCCTTCCAGATGTTTGGTGAAGCAATGTTTTTGTAGGTAAGCTTGTTGGTGTTGTTTGTGGAATTCTAAATATTGTAAAATCACTTATTAAAATTTTTTATACTACGTAACTTAAAATATAATAAAACAATAAGAGTGAAGTGCAGAACAATTACATAGAAACAAAAGAGTGACACGAAACTTTTTGCTAAACTAAAATAAATACTAACTCGGTTGTAGAACATGAACTGTTATTGAATTTTAAGTAAATAAAGGCTAGTGTTTGTCACTATGTCCTTTAGACAAATTTCGTCTCCACACACGGTGTTTATGAAATATCGAGTGTTTGTCTCCCAGAATACAATGATCTTTACACGAGCAGAAGAAGTACTACAATCTACTCGTCTAGCAAACCAAAACTCCAAATGTAGACTGCCTTAATGCCGAAATGCAATACTCTAATGTCGAGCTTAACTCTAAATATGACTAATAATTGTAATGAATTAATTAATGCAGAATGCTAATGAACCTATGCATTTATAGACACTTATGGTGACTTTTCGGACACTCACCACACTCAAGGACACAACCCAGGAAGACAAATGAAAATTAGTAGACACCACTTTTAACTGTTCTTTATGAACAGACACAACTCCAACTTCGGACTGGAATGATGCAAAAATCCGAACCAATGCGAATTAATTGGATACCAAAAATTAAATTCTATTCAGAAATTCTCGCTCAATTAATTAAATGAATTTTTTCCAAAAAGATAGGGCTTGGTTTAAACCACAACCACACCTGTCCCGAGCCCAGCCCAACCGGATCGTAGCGTGGCTAGTGATGCGCACGTGTGTGGTCTAACCGAAGACATGTAGGTTCTCGCTCCGCTCATAAAATTGTGGTACCCTTTAAGGTCCAATCACATAGAGCAAACTTGGCCTATATATGTCCATGTTGAATTTCTTCTCATACCAATGTGGAATTGGTGTCAAATCCCACATTGCACAACCTTTATTTCCACATTTCAAAAGGGTCACTTTGGAGCCTATTTTTTCATTCATTTCTTACTCGATTTGAGCAAGTGAATATACTACATTATTCTCCTTACGGAGTAGAATATGAACCCATAAAATTTTACTCATAACAATGAACGGGGCCCATTTTAATTTAGTCTCAAAGTATACTAAAAACTCTGTTTTTACACTTAAAAACTGTTTTGGTCCAACAGTTGGTAACAACTATAATTACTAGAAGCTATGCACAAAAGCTTATCTACAAGGGCGGACTTGTGGGATTTTATCTCTAGTGATGATGCTGTAATTCTAGAAGATACACCCCAAAATGCTAACTTACAACGAAAGTGGAAGATTAAGTGCGGCAAAACCTTGTTTGCTTTACGAACTTTGATCAGCCAAGACTTCATCACACATGTTCGTGATGTCTCATCGCCAAAACAGGTGTGGGAGACACTTGATCGATGGTTCACACAAAAGAATACAATGCACTTGCAGTACTTGGAGAATGAACTTGCTGGAATGACTCAAGGTACTCTTTCAATTCCAAAATATTTTTTGAAAGTCAAAACCTTGTGTGCTGAAAGTCTAAACAGTCCAAATGGGAGCATTGCTTGTCTATTACATCCACTGATCAATCAACTATTGTGACCCTTGCACAGATAGATGGTAATGCCTCCATAGACTACAACAACGAATGGATTATTGACTCTGGTTGTTCTCATCATGCAACGAGAAATGATTCTTTATTGTCGGACGTTCATCCACATTATAGGAAGAAAACCATTATGACAGCTGATAATTCCTTATATCCTGTTGAGAAACAAGGGCATTTTGAGGTAGATATTTTGAATAACAGAGGAGTTTCTCTCAAAGATGTTTATCATGTACCAGGCCTAAAGAAGAATCTTTCCTCAGTTTCTCAAATAACCGACGCTAGGAGGTATGTTCTCTTTGGTCCCAAAAATGTTCAAATTCTTTCTAATGTAAAACACATAGAAGCTGATGTTTTATTTACTGGGAGAAGAAAAGAATCATTATATGTTTTGTCTGCAAGTGATGCATATGTTGAAAAAACATGTCAGAATGAAAGTGCAATGCTTTGGCACAATCGGTTAGGCCATGTTGGGTATCAATTGCTGCAGAAAATCTCTAAAGAAGCTTCTTGATGGAGTTCCTCTTTTTAAAGAGATTCACCATGATGTGGTTTGTCCTGGGTGTCAAAATGGAAAATCACATCGCCTCCCTTTTTCGAATTCAAAGAATAGAGCTTTCGCTGCGTTACAACTGGTTCATTCAAATCTGATGGGGCCAACAAGAACACCCAGTTACTCTGATTTTCGCTATGTAATGGTCTTGTGGACGACTTTTCTCGGTTCACTTGGGTGTACTTCTTAGCAAACAAAAGTGAGGCTTTCTCTAAATTTGTGTAGTTCAAGGAGCAGGTAGAGAAAGAATTCGAGCTGCAAATCAAGTGTCTACGCACCGACAATGGAGGAGAATATATGTCTGATCAATTCCTCGATTACTGCAAAGAACATGGCATTCAGTGTCAAAAGACTTACCCGAAAACTCCACAGCAAAATGGAGTTGATGAGCACAAGTTGGCACATCTTACATCTATGTGCTTCCCATGGTTGCATATAAAGAACCTTCCAAGAGAGCTGTGGGCAGTAGTTGTTCAATTAGTTTGTCATGTCATAAATCGTTTACTTTCATGGCTAGGGACAAAACCATCTCTTTTGGAAGCACTATACTATCACAAACCCAATGTGAGTTATTTTCGAGTCTTTGGTTTAGTTTGTTATGTCCATGTCTCAAAAACTAATTGGACTAAACTGGACCCAAGGGCAAGGCCCTATATTTTTGTTAGTTATGATACTCACTAGAAATGATGGAAATGTATGGATCCAGAAACAAATAAAGTTGATGTTTCCCGTGACGTGGTGTTTAATGAAGTTTCATCACCTCAAATTGATACCGATATAGGCACAAGTGATCTTTCACCCTTTCTTGATGATGCATCCAATGAAAGGGGGAACAATATTACTCCTATTGAAGAAAATATTCAACAAGAGGAGATTGCAAGGACGGCGCTTCGAAGGACCTCTAGACAAAGAAGGCAACTTGATTACTTAGCTGATTATGATGTTCAATTAAGTTATTGCTCTGTTGTGTCCTATTTTTTTACAAGAAAGTCATGTGAAGATGAGCCTACGTCTTACAATGAAGCAAACAAAATTTCTAAATGGGAAGAAGCGATGCAAGAGGAAATATCAACACTAAACAAGAACTGTACATGGGAGCTTGTTTTGAAACCAAAGAATGTTGCACCAGTTACTTGCAAATAGGTTTACAAGTCGAAGAAGAGGGCTAATAGAACTATTGACAAGTACAAGGCTCATCTTGTTGTGATCTCGATTACGAGGAGACCTTCAATCATGTTCCTAAAATGGTAACGATTCGAACAATTATTTCATTAGCTGTTTACAAATGTTGGAAATTGTGGCAATTAGACGTATGGGAACAATTTTCAAAAACTATTGTTTAACATCGGGACATTTAACATAGATGCACTTCTAATTATTTTTTCTATATTTCTACACGCTTTAGCTATGCTCTAACAAGGAAACAACTATTCCTAAATCTCTTTCTTATTATTTTGTAAACAACAAGCTCAATCCCTCCTAGTCTACTACAAAAAAGGAGGCTGATTTCTGGTATATACAATTTAAACTTCCATTCATCAGTAAAAGATGTTTTCTTTGAAAAAGAGTACAAGTACAACCAAATCTAATCTGCAAGTTGAACAACCCTTCTCCTTTCACCTTTAGGGGTGGGAATCCCAAGAGATGCACTCAACCTAACAGCTGTTAATCAGGAAACACATTCTTTCTCGAGCATTGGTTAAGAAAATTCTACAATAGATATTTAGAAATATAGATATACATGTAACTGCAAAGATGAAATCACCTCTGAGATTATACTCACGACGTGAGTTATCATGGCCAAGAGATGTCGAATATGGAGTAGAGTTTCGGTGTGGGATTTTTCTACCTCTTATTTTTTTGGATGGCCGGCTTCACTCTTCTTTTTGTCTGGCGTGTATAATATATATATATCATTATTGAAAATACAATAGTTGCTCAATAAATAACCTTCAATATTTTTAGTGTTTTTATTAATTGAAAAAGACAATACGGGCATTAGTGATTTTATCAAAGTTATTTTAATCAAACAAAATTTTTTCACTTTTATTAACATTTTATAGTAGTATAGATACGGTTGAAACCGAAAGTGTAGGCATTCACTGTATAATAGCTGTCCAAAATGAAATGTCCATTAGACCCCCAACGACAATATCCTATAGTTGTTTAACTGAAAGTGCACTCTATATTGTTAAGAAAGTGATGGGAAGACCTAGTTATAATTTAAACTCGGTATTCTAAATGTCGTATACAATTTATTATATTCTTATACGAGGTATTAGAGCAATCATATATGGATTGAGAACCTAACCCATTTTTAAAAGTACCATATTCCCTCTTTAATTTTAAAGAATTTTAAATGTTCTTGTAGGTTTTCAAAAACATCTTTTTATAGAAAGGATATTCAATTAGTGTATTAAAAAAAAAAATAATAACATGACATTAAACATTTAATAATCAATGGGAGATATTGTTCACATAGACAAATGTGGTTTCCTATAGAAGAAAATAATTGTTTGGGCAATTTGATAACCAATAGGAAAAAAAAAAAAAAGACTGTGCTGCAAAATTAAGGTACAAGCATGACTTTATATCATAAATAATGAACTATCGCACAACTAATGTTTACAATGATGTCATGTGAATATTTAAGATAGTGTATAATTGAAAATTTTTGCGATTACTTGTTTTGTGAACTAAGTTTTTTAAATAGTATCATACAATAGTAGAGTATTCATAGTTAAAAATATAATATTAATAAGAGCTTGGCAAACGATCTCATTTCATTAAATTTTTTACTATATAATTATTTTTATTAACCCCTCGTGATAAATTTCTGATTTCGTCTTTGTATTTAAATTTTTTTTTGTTGGAACAGTGGCTGCACTTAAGTCTTAAAGGCGCAGCAACTTGATTTAAATTTTTCTAAATGAATAATGATACATATGTTTCTCTTTACAGGAGTCTACCTACATTAGTTTTATTTTACTATTCTATCCATTGCTTTGTTCTTTGTGGCCGCCCTTGGATGACAAATAATCTTGGACCACAAAGTCTATGGGTGAATTAGTTAAAAGATTCAAACACTTTTCTCATTATAATACAAAAATGCCTAACCTTTAATTAGAAAATAAAAAAAAATATATTCTATTTTTGTATGTTTATACAAAAGCATTGTCAAGTGACACTTCGTCATTTGTGTAAGACGACAAATCATTTGATTTGGCCGTTCAGATGACGTTTTTCTTTTTTTCGAATTGCGCCCGGATGACGTTTAAGGTCACCAAAAGACAAATAGACGACAGAATAATGGTACTGAAAATAAGTTTTTAGTATCGTATTTTATATTTTTTTTATTAATTAGAAAAGAACTAATCATGTTTTGCACCTCAAAAGATGTTTTAATTTTTAATTTGTATTATTAAATATTAAAATTTTAAATTTATGCTCAAGGTTATGAATTAGTCGTAATATGGAGATGGCCCAGATTTTCGTACAATTTTTTGTTATAAATTAAAGTATATGACGTACAAATATTTTGAACATTCCCAAAAAAATATATCAACACATGGTTATTATATCTCAAAAGAATATAATTGACTATGATTACATCTCAAAAGAATCACATTTAAACTTGCAGCGGAATAACAAAAGATTAGTCTTCACATAATTTTAAAATAAATTTCCTAATCTAGCACCTAGGAGAGGATACCCTAGACATCCACCTCGAGATCCACCAGTCCGTCTAGTGGAGCTTCCCAATGTATCGGTCCCTTGACTCCGAGCTCCTCTTGTAGACCATAATCTGGAAAATATATAGTTTGTAAGGAGTGAGCACTAAGCTCTGTAGCAGCATTCCTCCCAAACTCGAACAACGTTTAGAAAATATATAAAACAAGTCGGTCTCATTTCGTAAATATCATATATTAATTTTTGAAAGAAAACAAAAATATTTTAATAGATCTCAAGTTTACACAATAACAATAATTTAAATAAACAGTACAATGAATTTCCTAACAATAAATCATTTCTAACCATAAACCATTTCCCATAAGTTCTTGTAGAGTCTCATACCTCTACAAGTTCTTGTAGAGTCTCATATCTCTACAAGCTCTTGTAGAAAATATTTTCTAGTACAATAAACCAAAAATTCACAACTTATATTTGTATCTCAGGTATGTTAGTTGCTTCCCATAAATCTACACCCCGATCCTAGCAAGAAACAAGTATTTCATAGCATATATCTAAAATTTAGAAGCAATATATATAAACCCTAGCCTCAATGGACAAGAATGGAAGAAACTCCTACCTTGAATCCAAAGTGTTGATCCTATTCAAAGTGTAGATCCCTCTTGATCTTGTGTTTCTCTTCTTCTTTCTTCCTTTCTAAGTGTTTTTCAAAGTGTAGATCCTATTCAAAATGGGGCTAATGGAGACGTCCTTATGTATTTATAGTGGAAGGAGGGTCGACTGTTCGCGACTTAAAAATTTTTGAAATCTATCAAGCGTACCGGTACGGTATGGCTACTGAACTGCGCCGTACCGGTACGGTCTAGCTACTGGTCTTCGACGTACTGGTACGCTTTTGTTGAATCTGTCTGTTTCCTCTATTTTTCATTTCTAATCCATTTCTAATCCTTCCAAGGTTAATCCAAACTTATACAACATACCTTTGCACATCAAACATGGTTGGTACAACTTCTATTACAAACGATTTCATATATTTATCCGGATTTCCACAATATCATTATTTCTACGGTTATAACTCATATGATTCATTCCTACGCCATTACATATATTAAAATTTATATACAATTTATTATGATATTACTATAAACATATGGGGGTTTACAATCCACCCCCTTAAAGAAAGTTTCATTCTCGAAACTTACCTCAAATAGCGAATAAATGAGGGTATTTCTCTCACATCTCCAGCTCAGGTTTCCAAGTAGCTTCTTCCATCCCATGATGTTGCCACAAGACCTTCACCAGTTGGATGATTTTATTGCGATGCACTTTTTCCTTAGTATCAAGAATCTTCACCAGTTGTTCTTCATATATTGCTCCTTCTTGAACTTCGATATCCTCCAAATCCACGACATGCATGGTATCCGATTGACACTTTCTTAACATCGAAACATGGAACGCGTCATGCACCCCTGACAGCTGAGCGGATAACCACAGTTTATACGCCACTTTGCCTATCACCTTGATCACTTCAAAGGGTCTGATGTATCTTGGTGCTAATTTTTCCTTCTTGCCGAATCTAAACACTCCCTTCTTGGTTGATACCTTGAGCTATATGTAGTCCCCCTCTTGGAATTCCAACGGTCTTTGTCTTCGATCCGCATAGCTTTTCTGTCTACTTTGTGCCATGCGTAGTCTCTCCTAGATGAGTTGAATTTTCTCCGTAGTCTCCCAAACAATATCTAGCCTAAACAAATTACTCTCTCCAGCTTCTAGCCAACAAGTCGGTGAGCTACATGGTCTCCCATACAATGCTTTATAAGGTGTCATGCCAATACTAGATTGAAAACTATTATTATACGCGACCTCCACCAATGGCAAATGATCGCTCCAACCTCCCTTGAAGTCCAACACACAAGCACGCAACATGTCTTCCAAAATCTGTATCACTTTCTCTGATTGGCCATCCGTTTGGGGATGAAATGTGGTGCTAAAGTGTAACTCTATTCCCATATCTCGTTGTAGACTTTGCCAAAATTGTGCCACAAAACG